ATATTAAAAACATGACCATTGTACCTGATCCAACCACTGGTATTCAGGAGATAATTCTGGAGGCTTATACCACGTCAAATTGGGCACACTCATCAAGAGCTTCATGTCATCAACACGAATTGCAATCCCCTCATAATTGTCAGTTAATTCATTGTCCACACCAGAGCTTGGTGCTAAATCAATGTTGTGCAGAATCTCTGTTCTTGGCGAAGGAGCACCTTCAGATATGGTGTGCCATATGTTGAAACCATCCAGTGGAGGAACAGAAGAGTCTTTCTCTGTAATCCCTTCAAAAGTTGAGAAAATTGTTGAAATAAAATCATGCTATTTTTCACAATACTAATAACATCAAATTGCAAAACCATCCATGCGTTACTTAAATATAGTGTTGTAAATAAATTGCTTTCTTCAGCATATCTGCACAGAATTCTATCTTGAGAAAGTTAAGTGAATGAAAATTCTTAAGAAAATTATGATTTGGTGATCAAGATGCACTAAGTAGCTCAACTGGCCAAGATACATTCCCTGCGTAGTCTCCTCTTGTCGACACCATCTTGAATTTTGCACACGAGATTGAACTGGTCTGCCAGATGTTTTCAAACTTGAGATCGAAAGCTCACACATGCACAACCTATAATAGTGTCCCTTTAGCATAATACATTTGTGGGTTATAAATTTTTTGTTGGGTGAAAATCAAATGAAAATCCCCTTAACTTGTGCCACAAAAAACCTTTGAAAAACCACTAAAAATCCAGTGAAATGACAATGAAAAAATCAGTTAGATCTCCATGGTTTTTCATTTGACAGTGTGATTATAACCCTTAAAAAAACTTTTTTCACTAGGTGAATATAAGCCCATGACTTATTATCAGAAAAATAGGCTGAAATCTTTCATATTAGGTAATTATTGCTTACCGGTGAGGTAGAGGAGAGTTGGGTACCAGTCTGTTACATGAAGTAGTTCTTTACACTTGACTCCAGTGTTCTGCAGCATTTTTCCGTGCACAAAGCCCACCCCTCTGAGTCCTCCCTCCCAAAGGCTGCCTTTGTGTCCACGGAGGGGCCAGTTATATCCTCCAGCATGGGGAATACCACCATTATCAGTAGTGACAATCATTAAGGTGTCTTCCCATAGACTGGAGGAAAGAGCCAAGCACAAAAAATAGTACATTACAAAGAATTAGTATAACTGCTATGGCTGAATAATTTAGTAGCCAGAGAATGGTTACTTGTGGCTAAAGAGCTGCCTGAGCTTACAAAAAGTCCAAATCTTGGAGATTGTTGGTAATTCATCTGAGAGTACCTCAGTTTCAATAGGCAACTTTCGATATATTAAAACTCAGCTTGATAGTGAGGCCTAGAGGACACAGACAAAAGAAATGAATAAACATGGCCGTTCAATTTCCTTTGTTTGTCTCCTCTAAGCCTTGCCGCCAAGCTGAATTTTAATATTATTATCGAAAGTGGTCTATTCCCTCAAACAAAACTTGAAAAGCTAATGCAGATCAATACTATAATCATAATACTCAATGGTTCATTTGAAATCCTCTCCCACAATTGACTGGTCACACTTGACCAATATTAAAATAATCTATTAATAATTACATTCTTTATTGAGCAACTTTCTTCATTTCAAGGGCCTTGACACTTTTAAGAACCAGTCCACAAGACAAGGAGGCTTGTGTATTTACTCTCTCACCACAACACTCAGATTACCTGCACAAGTTTTTAGGTATAGGAGGATCTAGTGAAGCAAAAGTGAAGCAAAAGTGAAGCAAAAGTGAAGCAAAGCCTGAACTTCACTTTCAGTAGTCAGGACTGTCATTGAGGGTCGTAACCCATAACACCTGTTACAGCTGGAATATGCTTGATGGGACCTTGATGCTACAGGTGAACTTGCCTGTTGTTGATGCAATTCACCCATAATGTAGCAACTTTGTTACGGTTTTGAAGATCAAGGCTACAAGTGAATCAAAGCTTAATGGCTGCCCTGCTAGTGAAGGCGAGCCATATCAATTCAGCTACAACACTGAGCTACTGTTGTCTGAGATAAATTAGCTGTGTTTTAATCAACACCAGGGGAGGTACTCCCAGAAAAATTGGGTGGGGGTGTGCAGCCCACTTCCCAAAACCCTTACCCTATTATTTGACCAAGATCTGAGATTTTATCTTTCCTATTTATGACCTGACCAAAAATATGATACCCTACTGATGACTGTTGCAGCTGGCACAGTTGCCCTAAACATAGTTTATGACGCCTTAATTCATGATGGTCTTATCGATCATGAAAAAGTGGCTTCCTCTGAAAAACATACTGAATTTAAGACTATTTATGACCAAAATGACCAAAATCAATACCCTATTTATGACCAAAATGGCTGAAAAACCCTATCCTTTGGGGCCGCATATACCTATATACAAAGCCCATATAAGGGGGTACCCACCCCCAGGTAGTCAACTCACTCACCCAGCTCGCTGCATAGCTTGAGTTACATTTCCTATCGCTTCATCTACTATGTCAACCATTGCTGCATAATCCCGTCGTGTTTTGTCTTCAATGAATCGGTACTTGTCAACATATTCCTCAGGAGCTTGTGTTGGTCCGTGCACATTTTGAAATGGTAAATACAGAAACAGGGGAGAAGTTGAGGCATTGTGGGATAAGATGACACTCTGTGCTTGCTGATGAAGTGAGAAAGCAAAACCCCAATGTGATTAATTTGCAAGCGTGTATTCACAACCTATACCACTGCCAGTTTTGTAATCCCGACCCCTCCGTTCCCTGACTCTAACCTGTACAAATCTGTTTAACACGAGTTTGCAAAGCATAAGCCAACATCTCCATTTCTCCCTGAAAGCTTTAAGCCAGGATATTCCAGATACACATGTACAGTTCCATGATTCCAGTTAGAACTTAGAACAAATAATTGAAATTAGTGCTCAGCCAGTTTGTAAGAAAAACAGTTTGATTATCATGCGCTAAATATTTTAAAATGGCTAACCTTAGCATAAAGCCTGGCTGAATAAAATCCTCCTTTATCTTGAACTGGCTCTTTGTTTTCATGCAGATCAAGAATACCATTCCTTTCATGATTAAAGTGATCTTCAGCTCCTGTGTAAAAGCCATAAAATGAATCAAAGCCACGATACGTTGGGGTGTAAGGCCATTCATAAAAACCAAGATGCCACTTTCCAACCATATGTGTTGCATACCCTGCAAAGAAATTAAATTATTTTTTGTAAGT